GTAGATAACCATCCCAGGTTGCCAAAGATGGACTGACCTCCTGAGACATGGCGGTTTCAATGCTAACAAAGGGGAAGTCCTTGGCTAATAGGGAATTTGGCACTCTTCATGAAGATTTCGGGTTTTCTACCTATCCATAATAGATTTTGAGCTCCAGAGCACTGAGCAATCCCTAACCAGGAGACTTTTTTTGGGCAATTGTCTGGACATGTTTTTGTCAAAATCTGAACTGGTGATGCTAGTGGTGTCTGTGTTTTAAATATTTCTCACACAATTTTATCTCCACTTCTCTTTGAGACAAGGTTTCTCATAACCAGGGGTGGCCTCAAACTCACTAGACAGCTAAATTCTGACACTCTTGACCTCTACTTCCCGGGTGCTGGGATTACAAGGCATGTGTCACCATGCCTGTGTCTTTGTGGAGCTAGGACCAAACCTAGGGTTTCATGCATGCTGGGCAAGCACTCTACCAACGGAGCTGCATCCCTAGCCTGTATCATTGGAGACAGGGTCCTACTCTGCAGTCCAGGCTATATCAGAACTCAGTTTGTAGCCCAGTCTACCCTTCATTCATGGCGATTCTTCTGCTTTGGGGCTAGGATGCTAGCTGTGCACCACAGTGCCCAGCTGCTAGAGCCAGGCCAGGCATGCAGATGGTTAAGGTGAGAGATGGCACTATTGTGAGAGAAAGACCAAGGGTGACTGACCATCAAAGATGAGGGATGTTTAAGAGAGGCCCAGCATAGCAACTGCATTCATAGAGGCAGGGACTGTTCCCTAAGACCCCCTCGTCAGGGTGAAGCTGTGAATACCACATGTGTCTTACTGGCTTGGGATGCTCTGTGACCCTCAGTATCTGCCGGAAACAGCATGGACGACATTTGTGGGACGCTCTTGCTGCAGCTACACCAGCAGTACCCGGGTGATATTGGATGTTTCGCCATTTACTTCCTGAACCTGCTCACCTTAAAGCCCGGGGAAGCCATGTTTCTGGAGGCCAACGTGCCCCATGCCTACCTGAAGGGAGGTGAGCCCCATTTCAGTAGTATGCTCCACTTGCCATCCCCTGTGGACCTTGTTTCTTTGTGTGGATGAAAGAGGGAGGATGGTTGATGGGGCCTCTGTCAGCACAGTTCAGCCTTTGACCTCACAGGGTGACTGAGCCAGTGTGGGCCGTAGCTGCCAGCTGGGTGGTAGACATAGCTTGAAGTCTGCTGTCAGCCACAGGTTCTGATGTTAAGCCCTTTTGATGAGTGGGATCAGTTTGAGTCCAGCCACACTGGACAGAGCTGCTGTTCTCGGTCCTCTCGCTTGTCTTTGCACACCAGCTCTACCTGCCTGGAGATGTTTTTTGTGGTTTTGTTTTTTGGGTTTTTTTTTTTTTTTTTTTTTCGAGAAAGAGTTTCTCTGTGTAGTTTTGGTACCTGTCCTGGATCTCACTCTGTAGACCAGGCTGGCCTTGAACTCACAGAGATCCACCTACCTCTGCCTCCCAAGTGCTGGGATTAAAGGCCTGTGCCACCACCACCCGGCCTGTCTGGAGATTTTTACACTCCATATGGGTGATGCAACAGAAGGCTGTCACTTGTCTGTGAATGCATGTGCACATGTACCATAGGATACATGTGGAGTTCAGAGGACAACCTGGGGGCTAGGGGGTGATCCTCATTCTATTTTGTTTGAGGGTCTCTTTTTTTTTTTTCCCACATACTCCAATCTAGCTGGCTTATGAACTTCCAGGGATTCTTCTGTCTCCCCATGGGAATGCTGGGATTGCAATTATGTGTACCGCACAGCGGTGTTAGTATGTGCTTTTGGCATTTGAACTCAGGCCCTCATGCTTGCGTGGCAAGTGGTTTTACCCACCTTGACGGCCTCTTTGTTGCTGTTCTTGTCTTGAGACAGGATCTCACTCTGTAGCCCAGCCTGGCCTCAAACTCATGGCAGCCCTCCTACCTCAGCCTTGTGAGTGCTGTGATTATAGGCATGAGCCACCAGGTCCGACTGGTGTCCATCTGACTGTTGACAGCTTATCCACTCACAGGATTTTATTGTGGAAGTGTGAGATGAGTCATGTTAGCATAGCGGTTAATATCATTTTGATGCCTAGTACCCTCATCATATTCTCCCACAATCCTGTTCACACATTTTTACCTAATTTATAGGGCATGCATATGGCCTACGTTAGGAGGCCCAGGCCTCGAGAGCCAAACTCCATGGCTTACTTTACCATCTTAGCCCATGACATTTATCTGTTCTCAGACTGTGTGGAATGCATGGCATGTTCAGACAATACTGTGCGTGCTGGCCTGACACCCAAATTCATTGATGTGACAACTCTGTGTGAAATGCTCAACTACACACCTAGCCCCAGCAAGGACAGGCTGTTTACCCCAACACGGAGTCAAGATGACCCCTATCTCTCTATCTATGACCCCCCTGTACCAGACTTCACTGTTATGAAGATGGAGGTAAGTACATGGGCCAGGTGGGTATCCTTTGTGTAGCATGTCAAACCTACAGGGGTGTACCTCGGGCTGGATTTCCTATCAAGCCCACCTAGTATGGATAGCCACAGAGCCCATCTGCTTCTCTGCCAGGGACCAGATGTGGGTCTCCATAGTGCCAAGAGCCCGAACAGTGGGGAAGGAGGCAACAGGGCCCTTGAGATTTTCTAGAACCCAGGAGCAGAGTGTAAACTATACTGTTCTATCACTTCTTTCTCCCAGGTCCCTGGCTCTGTCACCGAATACAAGGTTTTGGCACTAGACTCTGCCAGCATCCTTCTGATGGTCCAGGGGACAGTGACAGCTACCACACCCACAGTTCAAGCAGAAATCCCTTTGCAGCGTGGTGGAGTACTCTTCATTGGGGCTAATGAGAGTGTCTCGCTGAAGCTTACTGCGCCCAAGGATCTGCTGATATTCCGGGCCTGTTGTCTGCTGTAGAGATCAGTCTTCCTGCCCTCCCTGCCTGTCACCTATATCCTGGCCAGCTCCACCTTTCAGGTCCAGCCCGATCCCTGTCCCTGTTGTGCACTCTTTGGTGCATGCTGGGATAGTAGAGTAGTGAGCTTGGCATTATTGACTCCAGAGCATGCCCCGGTTGGACCATCTTCAGGATGAGGGGTATGTGTGTGTGTGAAGACTCAGGCCCTGCCACTCCACTGTACTCTCTCAACACTCCGTGCTACCACTGAGCCAGATGTGTCCATTCAGGAGGCAACAACTCTGCCCCAGCTAAGGCATTAGGCTGGCAAAACATGCATGACCCAGCATCAGGTCAGCATCTGAGTGACAGGCCAAGTGGTGTCTAAGAGCAGGGTTCTTGCCCTGGGACTGCCCACTCTCTCAGCAGCAGGGAAGGGAAGGGAAGGGCAGGGCAGGCCAGTGGGCTAGTGAAGCTTACTCCCTCTAGCTCTGTCAAAGTAATTAAAGATGATTTGTGTTGAGGGTACAGATTAAAGAGCAGTCAGACTTTGGTATTCCTGCCCCTGATGTGGGCAGAAAGAGCTCTCTGATGTCCAATTTTGGTTTTGATTCTGCCTCATACAGCTTCCCGGGGGTGGGCAGGCTGGATTCCAGAAGGCTTTTATAGGAAGGGGTGGGAGAGGAAGCAGCCTCAGCCTCAGATGCACAGCTTGCAGGCAGGCTCTGGCTGCTCTTGTAGTGTTTTGTTTTGTTTTTTTTTTGGAGACTATCTTGCCATGTTCCAACAAAGGTTGGCTTTGAAGTTGTGCTTCTGTCTCTGCTTTATTGTGACTTCTGGTGTTTGCACAGGTTTATGTGTGTGCACATGATGCACATGTTCCTCAATGTTATTCCTCAAGAGCCATCCACCTTTTTTTCCCCTTGAGACAAGAGTCTTTCATTGGGACTCACCAATTCAGCTAGGCTGACTGGCTAGAAAGCCTCGCTGAGCCTCCTGGCCCAGCCTCCCCAGAACTAGGATTATAGGTATGTGCCAGTACCTTTAGCTTCTTATTTGGGGTAGAGGGGTCAGGGATCCGAACTCAGGTTCTCATGCTTACACAGTAATCTTTACCAACTGAGCCATCCCCCAGTCCCTCTTAGGTATTTTTGAGGTTCTCATATAGCTCAGGCTGGTGTTCTGTATTGGGGGCAAGAGAGATGACTCAGCAGTTAAAAGTACTTACAGAGAACCCAGGTTTGGTTCCCAGCTCCCATGTGGTGGCTCACAACTGTCTAACTCCAGTTACAAGAGACTGGATGCTTCTGACCTCCACAGGCTCCTGCATCTGCAGATACATGGCACACAAACATACACTTAAGTGCACACACACAAGATAAAAATTAAAAACCAAACCAAGAAATCCCTATGTATTGGGGGTTGACCTGAACTCCTAACCCCCCTGCCTTCACCTCCTAGGTGCTAGGATTATAGGGATTCACCACCATCCCTAGCATTTATTACAGAATTTCTTTGGCTGAAAAAAAAAGAGCTGAGGCCATAGTAAAGGAGTAAAATGGAGCTTGCCACCAAGCCCTAAGCCCTAACTTCAACCCCTGGGATCCACATGGTGGAAGGAGAACCCACTCCTGAAAGTTGTTCCCTGATCTCCATACATTTGCCACATTACACCCACATGTGTGTATACACACACAAAATAGTAAGTCTGAAGAGGGCCTGCTAAAGGCTTACCCACTCTAAAGCCAAAGGTCCATTCCACTCACAGCCTCCAAAATAATATCCTTGGGGAACAGCAGAAAAGGTTTTCAGGAGGCATGCCACAGTTGGACTAAGCTATTTCTTCAGGACACCCAGGCCTTTCTTAAAGCTCCCAAAGCAAGTTGGGTGTGGTGGCACTCGTTGTTAATCCTAGCACTTGGGAGGCAGAGGCAAGCGGATTTCTGTGAGTTTGTGGCCAGCCTCGTCTACAGAGTGAGTTCCAAGACAGCCAAGGCTACACAGAAAAACCCTATCTCAAAAAGCTCCCCCACTAAAAAGAAAAAAACAAAAAACAGTACACTGCAATGCAATACAGACCAACTACCATGATTGCATTTATTATAAGAGACCGTGGAAGTACAAGCCAAGAGGTCTGTAGAACAGTGGTCTGTAAACATCCAGTGGAACCACTCCTGAGGAAGCTGATGTCCTCCTTCCCAGGGACTGCCTCCTGCAGAACACCCAGCACTCTGAATTGAGGGCGTTAGAATCTGCGCACCATTGTGCCTTTATTGGTATTATTTTTGTCTAGCCCCTAACAACTGACCATTTCTACTGGTACCTCCGAACTGGACATTATCACCTGCTCTACATCCCTGAGCTTTCACTAAAGCAATGCTTTCCCACAGAAGGCCACCCAGCTCTAGAACTTCCCTTCCAGGGACTGTTCCAGCCAAGTACCTCAGTGTTGATTACAGCAACAACCACCCCAGAGGGTGTGGTTTGGAGGTTACTACAACCCCGCCCCCAGCTGCTGAATACACAAACTACTCTGTTTTAACCAAATCCCAACAGGAATAGGGCTCCACATTGAAGTTCCACAACCACTCTGGCCCTCATGAGCCACACCAGCAAGTCTTCCTCAAGACTACTACATACATTCGCTTTCCACATGTGCTTCACCTCTGCAGATCTCCAGAAGGCCTAGATATGGTCTGAGCTCCTTCCCTGCAGGCTTTACACAGGTGCTGAGAATGGGAGATACCTGCACAGCTGCAGAGTCCCACTGCAGAGTACAATTAGCATCTATAACCCAGTCCCAAGAACCAAGCACGACCATAGAGGGCACATCATTCCTAAGCCTCTAGTAGTCACTGAATGTGACAGTCAGTGGTGCCCAACCCCGAATTCTATTGTGTCCGTTATGCTGGAAACCCTGTCCACTCCAAGTCTCACCACACACCTGGGTAAGACAAAGAAAAGGTGGGGGAGAGGGTTCTGGAAAACGAAATTCCAGAAAGAGGCTTAGTATTGCAAGAGAAATTATCCCTTTGTTTGCTGTGTTCAGGCTTGGGGTTGAGAAAGGCTTTGCTCACCACAGGTTTGCTTTGTTCCAGTGTGGGAACAAAGTCCCCCAGTGTGGGACTCGAACCCAGAGCATTGCACATGCTAGGCAATTGGTCTACCAGACCTATGCATCCAGCCTGTGAGCCCTGTGCTGGGGCAGAGGAATGTGCCATAGGAATAAATCTTGTTAGAAGAGGGAAATCCCCTTGCACTGAAAACTGATTTATCTCAAGTGGGGGTCCAGGAGCTGGCTTAGGTCTCTTCCCCGTCCTGGCTGAACATTCCCATGTAGGCCAAAGCCACACAGCTAGCTACACACCAGGACATCAACGTTTTAAAAGCTAAACACAGGAAGGCACTGACTGCCCAGCAGCTCCCTCTGCTGGTAACCACAAAAACTGCAGGTTTCTGGTGCCAGCCCCAGGAGCCAATCCAACTATTAGCTCAAAAACAAACAAAACAAAACAAAAAACAAAAACAAAAACAAAAAAAAAAACAGGTGGAAAACTAGCAAAGGCCAAGGAACTGCAGCTAAATGGACATATACATGACAGAACAGTTCCCTTTAACTAGGGAAGGGCTGACCAGTCACTAGACCCATCCAGACAGCTGCACTAGTAGAATGAATGCCCCAGTCCAGAGGTTGGGAAAGCCACAACCCTACATCATCATCAGGTTCTATTCCTTGCCATGACTAGACAGATGTAACCCGAAGTAGCAACCCACTTTGTGCTTTCCTGAAGGTCAAACCTGTTAACTGACCTTAGAGCTGGAGCAAGAAAAACACAGAATTTTTTGAATTGGTCTCAGTTACAGTCTTTCAGATTCTTACTGCAAGCCATAAAGTGCTGTTTTCTGCCTCCCATCACACCACCCAGCACAGCCTGGGCAGAGGAGCTCTTTCTTTCCCTTTCCTCAGAACACCCCGACAAACAACAGTCAGAATGTCTACAAATGGTTTTCTTGGCAATCCTTGTCAGTAGCATAAGAACCGCAGAAAGTCTCTTCTCCTACCCTTATTAGATTGGCTTCTTGAAACTGCCCCAAAAGAGAAGTGCAGACTTTGACCTGTCTATAGCCTGTGACCCAGACAGGGGCTTCTGATAGGAGAAGCACCAGGTGACGGCTGCCTGGAGGTCAGTGGCCTGCCCAGAAGGTCAGTGTTTCCAGGGATTCTAGGCTGGCAAGAGTGCCCAGTGCACAGAGCTGTGAAGAGCCATCAGGGCTCACGATGAGCAGGGCCCATCCTGGAGGGTTATGGCTACTGGAGGGTACAGGAAGAATCCCCAAGACAGCACCAGCAGCAAGAGCAGGCGGAAGAGGCAATCGGCTTAGGGGGGATGAGGTCCAGGGCCTCATCGTCTGGAATCTCATCCAGGTGATAGCCATCTTGCAGCAGCTGCCGACTCACATCCTGGTTCACCTGCTAAAGGAAGAGAACTATAAACCAGGATGCAAAGCGTGCAGAGCTGCTGCCCAAAGGCAGGTCCCTGTCACCACACCTGAGCTTCCTGTCCTTGCTCTTCCTGGCCCCAGGTCAACCCCACATTCTGGATTACAGAAGGAAGCATCACCATTTCCCAGCTGTGCCTTTCCAGCAGTGAGGAACTCCACAGAGGCTTATTAAAAACTATCCAGGCTTCATGCCTTTAATCCCAGCAAGGGAGGCAGAGGCAGGTGGATCTCTGTGAATTCAAAGCCAGCCTGGTCTACAGAACAAGTTCCAGGACAGCCAGGGCTACATAGAAAAACCCTGTCTCCAAAAACAAAACAATACACCCCAAAAATCACTGTACTGACTTTTCCCATTGGAAACCCAGATATCCCTGTCAAGATTAAAGAATACAGCACTGTCATGTGTGGTGGCTCACACCATTAATTCCACCACTTGGAAGACAGCGGCAGGTAGATCTCTGTGAGTTCAAGGCCAGCCTGATCTACACAGTAAATTCCAGGACAGCCATGGCAATATAGAGGAAATGGTCTCAAAAAATAAGTAACTAAAAATAAAAAAGAGAAAGGAAAAATAAATATAGGGCTAACAACAGAAAAACGGGCTTGACTATTAAAGGTACATTCGGTACAGCGGAGAGGGGTAGGGAGCAGCTTTGTCTGCACTACCAGTTCTTGTTACCTTCTCTGCTGGCAGGGCTCGGCTCCTGCAAAGTCCAACAGCCTGATTTCACCAGGGTACTGACAGACGGAAAGTCAATAGGGCTAGGAAAATTTAAAACTTGAGAGATTCTTGGCAGTTTTCTTAGGTCTGCCTCCCCACCCCCTTTCTTTTTTGAGATAAGTTTATCTGTGTAGCTCTGGCTCTCCTGAATGGATCTCACTCTACAGACCAGGCTGGCCTCGAACTCACAGAGATCCACCTGCCTCTGCCTCCCCAGTGCTGGGATTAAAGGCGTGCGCCACCACTGCCCGGCAAAGTTTTCTTAGTTTTGACGATTTTAGTGTCTTAAGACATATAAGGAGGGTGCCCCATGCAAGCTGTTTTCTCCTTGGCAAAAACTGAGAGACTAGCCGAAGATTCCTTGGAGAATAAGGAAGGAAGATCTAGTGCAGCCATGCTCCCACTTCGGCTTCCTTGCACTTGAGCTTGCACGTGCTGTCATGCCCTGGCTGAGACTTTTCTGTCCTGCTGTTTCTCCCTGGGACAATCATTCTGGAAAGATGTCCGAAAGACCAGCCCAGGAGTGCTGTGCTCAGACAGAACTGCCCAGAGACCGAACTGCAGAAAGCAGGCTCAGCGGAGGAGGGGGAAGGGAGGGTTGGATGCTGACTCAGAAAGGGCAACTGGAGTTGCTGTGACACTGGAAGGCAGGCCTATGACCAGTGGGTCCAGGTTGCAAGAAACAGGAAGACCTGCAAACTACCCTAAGAAGGAGCTGTATGTTTGCTGGGGGAGGGCAGCAAGCAACGCTGCTTGGATGTAGTGAGTGCCCAGTCCCAGGAAGCATCCCAGCACGTAAAGGCTAGTAGACACTTAGCTGGAATTTATCAAGAAGATTCCTGGATTATAGACTTTTGAGATCATTTCTGGCCCTGAGGATATATAGTCTCCTGACTTTTCAACAGCCTTCCTAAGACACCTGCTATCTCTGCTAAGGGAAGAGGGCCTAGTGGGAGACTAGGGAACAGACCAGAACCTGGCGCAGTGCTGTGCTCACAGCAGGCACCAGACAGGCATCTGGCAGTGGTGGCGATGCCGCCTGCAGCCTGGCATTGTACACACAGGCGCTCTGGACTTGCCTCTGCAGAGGAATACCCGGAGGAGTATCTGGATTCCAGCTCCCCATCACTAGGAGAAGAGGAAGACAATCAGTTCAGGGGCCATCTATGGAGCACAGCTGCAAATGGCAAGGAGGAGAACATGCAAGAGGGTCTGAAGGCCTTGTGAAGCAAAGACCGCACACCACAGAGCTCAAGCCCAGAGTCTCCAGTGAGTACCGGGGGCTCCCGCAGTTGACTTCAGCAGAAACAGACATTCTCACTAAAAGTGCAGGCACAATAGGACAGGATGACCCTTCCAGCCACGCCATCCCTGGAAGGGACAGCACTCAGAAGAGAACAGCCCTGGAATGTGCATGGAGGGCCTTGGAGAAGATAGGCAACAGGCAGGGGCACCAAGAGATCCGCAGTACTAGCCAAGCCACTCCCCAACTGTTTCCAAGGCAAGACTCACCTGTCAGAGTCAAGGGACACCAGGTTTTCATCTGGACTCTGGCTAAGAGCAGTATAGCCCTTGTTAAACTTCACTGACCTGAGGAGAGATGGGGAGGGGAAGAAAGCACAGGCATTTCACAGGAAGAGCAGAGCGTGCTGGTCCCTATGCAGGAAGAACTAACTGGACCGTTCCAGACTTCCCTTCTACCCTGTCAGAGCCATCACAACCTAATGCTCTATACAGGTGTCTCTGGCTCCTCAAATTATGTTCTAGCGCACTCTACTCCATGTGATAGCTCCTAGGAAAAATACATCTCCCTCTTTTGAACCGGGTAAAGCAGCTTCTCTCCACCTTATTTAACCAGAGGATCTCAGGCAAATCCCTTCACATTTGAGTTTCAACATTCAGCTGTAAACAGCCATACTATGTGAGGTCTTATTCAACTCTGAGAGTTTCCCATTCTGTTTAAAAAAAAAAAGAAGAAAGAAAGAAAGAAAAGAAAAAGAAAAGCTCAAAACACTGCCCAGGTCATTCTCATGGGGCTCTCCATCTTGATTCCTGGGACTCCAGCCACCATCTCTCCCCTTAATGCATTATCTTGTCTATGCACTGATGGAACTCTCCTATTCCACAGCCTATTTCTTGATACTGGCACAGCCTCAAAGGAAGAGTAGAGGTAGTTCCAGTTCCCATTTTAAGGCGAACCTGTCAACAGACTAGCTAGCTAGCTCAACCTTAAACTCCAGCGCCCTGTTTCCCAGGCAGGGGGCTAAAGGCCTTCCTTGGAAGCTGCTGACACAGGAGGTGAAGCCCATTGAGACCTTTTCCCTGAAGAATCGGGGCGGTTCGGCAAGGCCCCCAGCATGCCCTTTCTCCGTAGAACGGCCTTGGCCAGGTCCCGGTGCTTCTCTGGAAGTCAAAAGGTCCTGAGTCAGCCAGGTCTTCCTCGTCCCGCTGCTTCCCAGGCTCTCAGCGGCGGGAGATGGCCGCACCTAAAACCCCTTCCCCTCTGGGGACACGATCATGGGACTCCGGGGCCCAAACCCTGGCCACAGCAGCCCGCTCCAGCAGAGACCCTCATGCATCCCGCCGCACTCACGAAGCTTAGCCTGAATGGAAGGTGCGCGCGTCACCATGTATGGTCCCCGCTTCTCCACAGCAGCGAGCGCGCGTTCCCCGAGACGGAGGGCAGCGCCGCCGCCCCGTCCGGAAGGCAGTCCCGCAGCTTCTGCTGTGCCATCGGGGGCCGCGCCAGACTGGGTCCCCTGGGTGGACATCTGCACCGCGTGCCCCCGGAGCTCCGCGGTCGCCATGCCCCGCCCCGCCCAGCCCCGCCAGTGGCCAGCCCAGCGTGGGGAAGAACGAACGGCGGGGCTTGCACTCCTTTAGTAAGACGGTGGCGCAGGGCTTCGGCTTCCCTCCGCGGCCTGCAGTGGGGCGAGCATCAAGGTTCCGCCCGAACTGTCAGGAGCCTGGCAGCCCAGGTCCAGGTATTCTGAAACCTGAAGTCTATTTAAGCCTGATGATGTGGAGGATATCAGTTCAGTCTATAGTTTAAGTAAAATGACATTTATGCAGGGTGGCGGGAGTGTGCCTACCCAAGGACTCTCTGTGTGCCTTGAGTGTCTCTTTCGCCTCAGCCGGAGCTGCTTTAGGGGTGTTAATACAGGAAGAGTCAGGCTGAAATGAAGGGGCGATGTCACCCTTCTCTAGAAAAGGGAACAGGTCCGGGAGGATCAGGATCTGTTGCAGGATATCTGATCACATTGTGAACCCGGAGTTTGCATTAATTAAATGAAACCTTGGGTCAAGAGGTGGAGCTAGCAACTAGCTGGCAGGAAGTAGTCATAGAGAGTTAGAGGGAGTCAGGAAAAGGAATAGAGAAACACACAGGAAGTAGGAGGGAGGGACTTTGAGTCTGATGGTCTTTTTTAGTTCGACACGGTGGAAGGAAGTTCTTTTTGTTGGTCGCCAGCTAAGGAGGAAGGTCTGCTAGAAGGTTTTCACCCCAGCATCTGACTTCCGAGTCTTTACTGGTAAAATAGAACGATAGAAACTTAGTTAAACACTACACTGGGCTGCAGTGGCAGAGGTGGGTCTGGCGGGACGCAGAAGTCCCGCTAGGCCTCAGCCTGAGCCTCCGGCCAATGACTGTGGAAGCACAGTCGGTAGCTGAAACAGCAGTAGAATCAGGTGCAGCCGCTGTACTGACAATAAAACAACATTTGGTACCCCAACGCGTGGCACAACCACACGACAGAGAAATCACACCAGCGGTGGACAAACTGAGAAGTCACCAGATCTGGTAAGACACCTGAGAAGTCCTTAAGGAGAGAGTTAAATAATATTAAAAAGAACAATCTTTCCCACGTTAAGGATGGGAAATATAACAATGCAGGGAGTTAAGACCCTGTATAATGCTACTAAGGATGACTTGAAAATGGAAGCAGTAAGTGAGGTGTTAAACGACTTAGCTGGAATTGACATAATGCCGACTGTAAATACCATGAGTCTGGTAATTCGTATTTTATCCTTAATAGCTACAGTGTATTTTTGTGCCAAATATAAAAGGTGGTTTGATAATCGTGCCAAATATGAAGAATTGATTGATAAGATACAAACCTTAGAAAGACTTACTAGTGAAAATAACAAAAATTTGACTGATAAGATACAAGCCTTAGAAGGACTTATTAATGAAAATAATCAAGCTACTCAGGTACAGACAGAGGAACGGCGGCCCAAGGTTATTAGAAAACCAACCTTATGTTATGGAGAAGTTCAATGTAATCCTATGGAAGTATTAGATTTGAGGAGATTTAAGGAAGATGTTGTTTCATATGGTATGCATTCACCCTTTGTGAAGTGGATATTAAACTCATGGGCAACTCAGAACAGAATTATCCCCCAAGAGTGGAAAGATTTGATATCAGCAACATTGGAAGCTGGTCCTCAGTTACAATGGCAGATGTGGTGGAAAGAGGAAGCTAGGGCCATAGAAGAACAAAATAGGGCTAGAGGTATTAATATTTCCCAAGATCAATTGCTAGGTGAAGGCCAGTATGCTGACTTGCAAAGGCAACTTGAATTTGATGACCACATCTTGGTGCTATGTCAGTTAGCAGCCTTAAATGCTTGGGACAAAGTTAAAGAATCAGGAAAGAGTTCTGAGTCGTTATCTACAATTATACAAGGCCCAAAAGAAGCCTTCACTGATTTTTTACAAAGATTGACCCCAGCTATAAATAGAATAGCATCAGATCCAGAAATCAGACAACTATTAATCGAATCTTTGGCTTTTGAAAATGCTAATTCTGAATGCAAAAGGGTGATCAGGCCTCTAAAGGCAAGATCAGCACCAATAGAAGAATGGATTAGAAATACGGCTGATATTGGATCTCATACTTACGATGAAACTTCAATAGGAGAAGTTATCGCTAAAGGTTTTAGGAAAAGACAAACCGTCAAATGTCTTGGCTGTGGCAAGCAAGGTCATTTCAAGAGGGATTGTAGGCAAAGTGTTACTAGAAACAATGTTTTTTTCTAGAGATAATTCACAAAGAAGGTCGCTGCCCTCTGGAGTATTCAGAAGGTATGGCAAAGGCTAACATTAAATTAGTGAATGCAGATGAACAAGGGAAAATCAAAAGGTTTTTGCATATTACAACATAAAGCATATTCCAGTTATACCACACAATCCTACAGAATAAACAGTTATAGAAAGATCCAATCATACTTTAAAACATATGCTAACTAAACAGAAAGGAGTAAGAGAGCCCCAGAGATTACATAGTGCTTTATTAACTTTAAATTTTTTAAATGCTAGTGAGCAAAAAACAACAGCTGCTGAGAGATAATGGGTTGTGGAAAAAACTGCTGAATTAAATCAGCATATATTTTAAGGATGTCCTAACCTCAGAATGGAAGTCAGGAAATGTGTTGCTTGGGGGAGAGGTTATGCCTTTGTTTCCACAGGAAATGAAAAGCTATGGATTCCTTCAAAATTAATAAAGATCATATTTGACCGGGAGAGACCTTCTGAAAATCTTGGCTGCAGACATGAAGGAAGAAACCAAGAAAAATTATAAAACAGGTGACGTATATGCTGATCCCTTGACATGGGGACAGCTCTGAGATTGGATGAGACATAATAAACCTCGCCAGGCAGTGGTGGCGCACGCCTTTAATCCCAGCACTCGGGAGGCAGAGCCAGGTGGATCTCTGTCAGTTCGAGGCCAGCCTGGGCTACCAAGTGAGTTCCAGGAAAGGCGCAAAGCTACACAGAGAAACCCTGTCTTGAAAAACCAAATAAATAAAATAAACTTTGTTGGCTACACAGTCCTCATGACTTATTATTACATGCCATCCTTTCATATGGCATGGATAGAGATTTATATTACAGTTTGATTATACAGTCCAAATGGACTTATAAAATTGATAGATGCCTTTTACCTGCTCAAACATAGAGAAGGGAATCATATTTTGCTGATTTGTGCATACCATGCATTCTGTACTTGTGTTGATGCAATTATGAATGTTACCTTTAAAAGTTTGTGTTTTCAGAACAAAAGGACCAAACACCAATGAAGAGAAGACAAGTAGTAGCCCAAGTGATCCAGCCTCTGAGAGTGCCTCCATTGTTATATCCTCAAAAATCTTCATCCAGGACAACTTCAAAGCGGCTAGCTGAGGTGGTCCAGCCTCACAGACTACTCCAGCCAGGACTTCAGTTAGCCCTGCACCTTCCCATCACACAGAGACTGGGCAATAAATGATACAGCTAGCTCTCCAAGGGCTTGACCATTATCTCAATTCTCTCAGGGTCCCCTAAAGATGCCGTCGCCCCCAGACAGCAGGAAGCAATTTTAAGAACACAACGACCACATTCCCGAGAGGTGGGGTGGGTGGTTTTGTTTTGTCAGTGGGTTATGGATATTTGTCATCATTTGGGGGGGTTTGTTGCAAGTTGTTATTGGTCATGGTCAGGGAGGAAACTAAGCAAAGGAGGTTAGATTTAGGGATTTCTTTCTTTTTCTTTCCTCTTTCTCTCCTATCTAGTGTTGAAAAGGGGTTGGGGAGTAAGGGATGAAAAGAAAAAAGGGGGGGTAAGGGATGAAAAGAAAAAAGGGGGATATAGCAACTATAGGATAAAATGGTAGATTATTGAATCTACTTTTAAACTAAAAAGCTACTAGTCTCAAATATTTCACATTGGTATGAATTGTATATTGATACAAATTTAATGTTATTTTTGTTACACCATACTGTATTTGTTTCTGCTCTTGTTAAAGGTATTGTACCTATGCAACTCATTTAAAAATGTAAAGTTCTAGTCTTTGAAAGCTACTATTACAAACTGTTTAGGATAATTAAGAAATGCAGGCTATGCTGGGTGCTGGTGGCACACACCTTTAATCCCTGCACTTGGGAGGCAGAGGCAGGCGGATCTCTTGAGTTCAAGGCCAGCCTGGTCTACAGAGTGAGTTCCAGGACAGCCAGGGCTGCTACACAGAGAAACCCTGTCTCAAAAGAAAAAAGAAAAGGTAATGCAGGTTAGCAGTTAGTCACCTATAACAAACTTGTGGTCATGTTAGGTATGTTTTCAAGGTCAAACGTATATTTTAGGTGGATAGGTGGTCTTCAAACACTTCAGAGATCTACAGAATATGGCATTTAAAATGTTTTCATAACATAAGACTTTTCATGATGGTGAGATATGTCTGCTCCTGGCAGCACCAGTCTGCTTCAAAGAAGATGATGGGCATTGAAGAACCTCCATATGGAGTTTGCTTTAAATGTGGCAAACCTAGCCACTGGCAAGAAACTGCCTTTGCCTCAACTGCTGACAGTGTGCTGTCCAAATTGGATAAGCAGGACAGAAAGGAAGCTAACTGCCGAACTTTGCCAAGACAAGGTAGGCCAGTCTTCAAAATTCCTGCTTCACAGTAAAGTCTGTCAGATATTCTAGGCCTGTAGGCCAAAGATGGATGCCCCAACGGTGCAGAGGAACCTTGGGTGACTGTCCAGGCAGCCAGCTATCTCTGTCATTTGTATAATTTTGGAAGTTGCTTGCTCTGCACTTCCTGTTTACTCAGGTAATATTTTATCCTTCTCAGGTCTCTGATGGGGTTGAAGACTGGATAGTTATAGTTTTACAGTTCTCCTTGTTATCAAAAAAAGAAACTCAGAAAAGAGATGTACAGTTTATAAAGGTTGAGACAAAAGCTTAAGTTTAAGAAAATGTTTTAAGGTCTAAAAGGATATTTTTAGCTGGTAATACAAGTTATGATAGAAAATGATTAAGGTCATCGCTTTGGACTCACCAAGATAGGATAAATAATAAAGTACTTTCTCTAAAGTTGCCAAATACAAAAGGACTTCTCGTGAATATAAATCTTACCTGATAGTTGTTCTTATTGTATATAGTTTTAT